CTCAGCTCTGGCCATTATAGCCATCTCGGAGTGAACGAGTGGATGGAAGATCTTTCACTCTGTTTCTCCTTCTTTCTGTATCTAATCTTCCATTCCAACAAAAATAAATAAATAATTTTAAGTGCAAACAAAAAAGCAGAAATAATTAAATGGAAAGCTTTTGTGAATTTAAGGACATCTTCCAGAATATATTTTTTAAAAAAGGATGAGAGAAAGATGTGCACATTATTTTTATATTGGATTATCAAGTTAAAGAGTATTTTTCTAATATATTGCAGATATTCACTATCAGACAAATGGTACACACTGAAAATTTTGGTCTGTGGCATTTGGAATTAAAGTTGCAGTCCTTGCTTCTGGGTAGATTGCTAGTTTTGTAGCAGAGTCCATGGCTTTTTTTTTTTTTAAGACTTACTTATTTATTTGAAAGATTTACAGGAAGAGAGGGACAGACAGATCTTCCATCTGCTGGTTCACTACCTTGTTGGCCACAATTGCCAAGAATGAACCAAACTGAAGCCAGGAGCCAGAAACTTTCTCCAGGTCTCCCACTTTAATGGCAAGAGGGTGAAACACTTGGAGCATCTTCTGCTTCTTTTCCCAGGCCATTAGAAGTTAACTAGATAATGGACCCAGTGCAATAGTGTAGGAGTTAAAGTTCTCACCTTGAATGTGCCAGGATCCCATATGGGTGCCAGTTCTAATCCCGGCAGCCATGCTTCCCTTCCAGCTCCCTGCTTGTGGCCTGGGAAAACAGTCAAGGACAGCCCAAAGCCTTGGGACCCTGCACCCGCATGGGAGACCTGGAAGAAGTTTCTGGCTCCTGGCTTCAAATTGGCTCAGCTCCAGCCGTTTCGGGTGCTTGGGAAGTGAATCAACGGACAGAAGATCTTCCTCTCTCCTCCTCTCTGTCTATCTGATTTTGCAATAAAAATAAATAAATCTTTTCTTAAAAAGTTAACTAAATCAGAAGTGAAGCAATCAGAACACAAACTGGTGCCCATATGAGATGCCAGTGTTGGCAATGGCAGCTTTACTCACTTTGCCACAACATAGCCCCTAGAGTCCCTGCTTTTAACTAGATTTAAACATAAGAATGACTATTTGGCTAAGGTATACGTAGATGAAATGTTTGATTTCATGAGTCATGTGCTACCGAAGTTCTTCCCCACAATGCAGGGTCTGATGGAGATGTACTTCTTGTCAAATTCTTCCTTCATACAGGCTATAATGTCCCTGTTGTATTTCTCCCGTGCATGAGTAGCACACACCATCAAATCCTGTTGCGTCTCCTCTGACTTGTTTGCACTCTTTATCATTGCCTTGTGGCTTTGTGGTTACCAGGCAGCAAGTGAGATGTTGGCACAGCTGAGGCCCAGCACAAGATAGCATCACTATGAAGCCATGGGCATCTCTCTTGTGTTATCTTTTATGAGGGCATTTATCAGAGCTGACATTGTAATACAATGGGTTAAGCTGCTGCTTGTGACACCAGCATCCTATATCAAAATGCTTCTTTGAGCCCCAGCTATTCCACTGCTGATCCAGCTCCCTGCCAAAGGAAAGGGCCCAGCACAATAGTGTAGTGGTTAAAGTCCTAACCTTGCATGTGCCGGGATCCCATATGGATGCCAGTTTTAATCCCAGCAGCCCTGCTTCCCATCCAGCTCCCCGCTTGTGGCCTGGGAAAGCAGTCGAGGATGGCCCAAAGCCTTGGGACCCTACACCCACGTGGGAATCCCAGAAGAGGTCCTGGCTCATGGCTCCTGGCTCTCTGGATCGGCGAGTACCAGCCATTGCAGTCACTTGGGGAATGAATCATTGGATGGAAGATCTTCCTTTCTGTTTCTCATCCTCTCTGTATATATGCCTTTCCAATAAAAAATTAAATAAAAATCTTAAAAAAAAAAAAAAAAAAGAAAAAAGAAAAGCAGGAAAGATGGCCCCAATATTTGGGCCAGCCACCACCACCCATATGGAGACCTACATGGAGTTCGAGACTCCTGCCTTTGGCCTGGCCCAGTCCCATTACTTGTTGATACAGGATCTCTGTCTTTGTATCTCCCTCCTCTTTTTTGCTTTGCCTTCCAAGTATTTTAAAACATATGTGTATGTATGTATGTGTTTGTTTATCATTGGATTTGATTTCTAGGTAATCTAGTATAATCATCTCAGAACACCTTAACTGCATTTGCAAAAAACCCTTTCCAAATATAACTAACACAGTTTTCAGAGTATAAGAAATGAAAGTATCATTTAGGGGACTATCATTCAGCTGACTGTGGCTTTTAATAAAGCAGGCAAGTAAGACACCAGCCTTTTCCACTGAAATACCACCTTGGAAAAACCAACAATAACCAGACAACAAAACATGAGCCCAGTTAAGCTCTAGATCCAAACACCAGTTTCAGGAAATAGAACACCATATGTAGTCAACAAAACTCAGGCTGTAGGAAACTATGAAACAAAACCCCAGTTTCTTCAGCAGTTCATCTGGGAGGGGAGATGAGTGGTAAAGGAAGCAGCCTGTAGTCCTCGTGTAGGACAAGAACCTGAACAGATCCAGTTACACTGTGGGGATTTTATTTGGTTCTTTACTTTAAAAACACTTCACACTTTAAAATTTAAAAAATAATAATAAAAAAGAACCAAGGAAAGGTGAGCACTTTCTGATTCTTGTATAAGTATCTACTATAAAATTTCACGTAGATGTATTAACAGAGTGCTCTGAGGCCAATATTGTGGCATAGCGGTTTAAGCCACTTTCTGCTAACCCATTTGGGAAAGCAGTGAAAATTGCCCCAAGTGGTTGGGCCTCTACCACTCATGTGGGAGACCAGATGGAGTTCCAGACACATTGCTTCCACCTGGCACCACACTGGCTGTTTTGGCCGTTTGGGGAGTGAACCAGCTTAAGGAAGATCTCTGTTTCTGTCTCTTTCTCCTTCTTTGTAATTTTTTAAGTTACTTTAAAAAAAAAAAAAAAAGCGGGCCCGGCGCGGTGGCGCAAGTGGTTAAAGGTCCTCGCCTTGCACGCCCGGGATCCCATATGGGCGCCGGTTCTAATCCCGGCAGCCCTGCTTCCCTTCCAGCTCCCTTCCTGTGGCCCGGGAAAGCAGTCGAGGACGGCCCAAAGCTTTGGGAACCTGCACCCGTGTGGGAGACCCAAAAGAGGCTCCTGGCTTCGGATCAGCATAGCATCGACCCATTGCGCTCACTTGGGGAGTGAATTATCGGACGGAAGATCTTCCTCTCTGTCTCTCCTCTCTGTATATCCGCCTTTCCAATTAAAAAAATAATAAAAATAAATCTTTAAAAAAAAATCTCGGTGATTTTAGATATCACTCTAAAATATTTCCAGATGAAATGATACATCAGGGACTTGCTTTAGTGTAATGAGGGTGGATGAGATAATGTGGGTTTATAGATGAAATAGTGTTAGCTATAAGGGTGTGTTTAGGGGGACTGGGTTATGAGTTTATGAGAATATGTATTTTTCTGTCTATACTTTTACATTGGTTTGAAGTTTTCTGTAGCAAATATTTAAAGTTTTAAAACGTTGACCACCTTCCCCTCCCCCCACCACCAACTTCTAACCCCCAGAAAAATATAGTGCTTGAGGAGCGTTCTGGCAACTAGAAGGTTGATCTGCTTACCTTTTCTGCCCGGTGGATGCGTGAACTTCTGAGAGCTGTGTCACAGGTCTCACAGATATTCTAGCTTAAATTGGAATCTGAAAGAAGAATGAAATACATTTCCCTTTGGCAATATGATTATAGCCAACCTTCCTTGACCAAATTCCCCTAACCACTCCTCACCCTATCTGACCCCTTCAGTCTGGGTTAAACATCATACTCTTTTGCTTTCCTGAAACCATCTACATACTTCCTTGGTATCTTTTTAATTAGTTTAGTTTAATTCTCCCAGTTTCTGAATTACAAATTCCTGAAGGTGTTAGCTTCATTGGTTCATTTTATTCATCTGTATATTCTCCCCTCACTCCTGCATTTAACATTTGACCTGTTAAACACTCTTAATAACTGATTGAGAGGGGAAGCAACAGAGAACTGGTAAATTTCACAGATAAGCAAAATGCAAGGACCTGCTTTCTGCGTCTCCTCTAGTCCTTGAGTACCGTTTGAATAGGCTCCAAATCTACTTTGAGCTTTGTTTCTGCTATCCATCCCCTGGCCAAGGTGCTGATGAGCTATGATATACTGCAAGTGAAAGAGAAGTAAAGGGTAAGCACTATAACCAAATAGAAAGTAGGTTCCCTCAATCATAGGTTGCTTATTTTCACCCTTTCCCAAGGTATAGGAAGTAGTGAATTCTTTCCGCGTGGCTATCTTTTTATGTTGTTTGTTTTGCCAGTTTCTGAATATAAAATTTTCTCTGCCTGCCAGTGCATAGTACCTTTTGAGAGGCTATTGTTTTGCTCACTATAGCTGAATATATGAATTCCTTTTTAGTCTGTCATGTTGGTATGTCTTAAGATAGCAATTAGAATACAGCATCCTCAGAAAGGTAGCAGGTATTCTGAACAACTATTTTGTGCTATGAAGATTATCTGGCAACTTCCTAGTGAAGATAGTCTCCATAAAAGAGCCTTTAAAGGACCCTTAAAACTTTAGAGCTGGGAGACATGCAGAGACTAGTGTGGTTTACTCACATATACTGCTGTTACCAAGAATAGGTCTTTATGTGATAGCTATCTTTTTGTTGTCTTAAAATACTTGTATCATGTGTTGTCTAGTCCCTACCAGGCTAGTTTCTAAACTGATACTTTCCAAATTTAGATGTCTGAGAAAATGAGACACATTAGTAACATTATCTAAAATGAAAAATAAGATATGTAATGTTATGATTTCTTTCTGACCATATTGTTGAATGATTTCTAATTTTGATAGAAACCAATAGAAAATGTCTTAAATTTTAGACTGTAATTACTAGACATTTTAACCTTACTTAAAACTTACAGATGTTTTATCTTCTCTCTGTAGGTGGTACGGGACTATAATCTTCAGCTGTTTTTACAAGAGAATACTGTATTTCACAAGCCACAGCCATTCCAGTTCCAGCCTTGTGACAGTGATACTGTAAGGGAATTCCAGATCCCCATTTCATTATTTTGTTCAGTTGTGTTTGTGCTCAAATAACCACTATCCTTGAAATACACAGAAAAATGAATGTGTCTTATTAATCTAGGACTATGTTTTTTTATACTTCAACAATGTTTTAAATATATTTACAATTTTATAATAAATTTATTTTTGGTCATATTTACATAGTTAAGGATGCATGCCCACATGGACCACTGATTCAGGAAGGGAGGGTAGAGGAATGGAGGAAAGTAGGTGGGACAACTGTCTTCAGTCTGCTTTTGCTCACATCTGGAGAAAATGGAGAGAGGGCCACTCCCAGCAGCCCAACCATATCACTGCTCTGAATGGGGGACAGTCCCCCAATATCACAGGGTCCCCATTGTGGAGCATAGTCTGAGGACACTGCTAAAGCGGTTTTCCTGGTTCTGAAATGCTGTTGAGCTTGTTGCTCCAAGGATGAGAAAATCCTTCTAAGATCCATTGGCAGACACATTCAGCCTTAGAGTCAGTTGGCACATACACTTGCTATCAAGCCTTGGCCAGGAAAGCTGTCCAGTTTGTTCTGCACCCCATAGTACCAGATGTCCTCCACAGGCCTCAGTGAACTGGTTGTCATGTCCCCCAAGTTCATGTGGGTGTGCTGCCCACTACATGAGCTTCAGCAACTGAGGAGACCCAGTTCTGCCGTGTACACTCCATGGTCAGACCACAGATCCTATAGTATCCCTCATAGGTGGAATTTTGAGTCCAGTGGTCCAGACTCTGCTGGCGTGGCCACATCTGCCACCCACATATCTTTTTTTTTATGCCACCCACATATCTTTAAGAAAAAAAAAAGGTAACTATGTTGGCACACTGGTATAGTTAGCACATATTTGGCATTAGCCAGACCCAGAATGCCTGCCGGCTGTTAGCTGCTTTTCTCCCAGCAGTTTAACACTTGCCTAGGTACAATCAACTTAGACAGTTGCCTGCAACTGGGGTAATATAGGACTATGTTTAAAAAAAAAGAGCTATGACATTTCTTCTTTCTGTGATGTAGGTAACATGCCAGTACCTTTATATGGTGTAGCTAGCATGCTAATAACTTTTTAACAAATTGACAAAGCAGTGAACATCTTAAAATAACTGAGATGAGAAGAAAAAATACTCATTTGCTATATTCCACTGTAAGTTTTACTTTTATTCCATAAGACTCTTCATGTTATGGCCTTCCAGAGAAACCAGTGTTTAAATTTTAACCAGAATAAAATTAATAAATGGAATAATGAATATGTGCATGGAAATATTTTTGTTGGCTTTACAAAAAGTTGTAGGTCTTTTATAATTTCTTTGAGATTTCGTAAAATGTTAAAGTACTAACATAAACTCAGTTGGCAATTTTGAGAGAGCAGATGTTAATCACATCTTTATGCTTGTGTTTATTTTATGAAAAATGTTTGTCATAATTTAATTTTTAAAGTAACCAGAATACTGATTTGATAACATTAAAAAAAATCAATCTATTTTTTGCAAAATGAGAAAGCAAGTGTTAACATTACGTATTTTCAAAATCAGTGAAAGAGAGAGATGTCAGATTATATTCACAATGTCTTTTGGTGAATTTAGAATCAGAACTAAGGGAGTTTATAATTTCAAAATTTAATGATACCACTTTAATAGAAATACATTTGCCAGAGATACCTGCATTTCTTCCGTTTTAAGCAGCCCTGTTAACAGCTGTACAAAAAAATGTCGGAAACATTTCCCTCTGGATTATAACCCTTGACCTTTACAGTAGTGCCATTTTTTATTAATCAGCTTTTGATTAATGACTCAGTGATGTCCTATAATTTGACTTCTTTGGAATCTGGGAGGAATGAAGTTAAACATTGGAAGAAGCAAGATGTAGACAGATTTTTCAATCTTAACTTAAAATTGTGACTAATTTGAAAATGTCATCTAACTTTTCCAAATCCCAATTGCACCCCTCAATTTTTGTTTCTGCACACTGTGCTTAATATTGTGTCCATGTTTGCCTCAAAATTCTAACCCTATACTATGTTTTCTATCCTTTCGCAATCTTTACTGGGCAGAGTTTAAAAGCTGCCCAGCTGGTGGATATTGAGCTCTCCCCTGTCAGTGCTCTGAGAATGACCATAGCTGAGGTATATTGGGGGTGTGGGTGGAGGGATGAAGGGATGGATCCTGTGGTTTGCATGTTAATGAAGGGTGGGGCCTGGCATTGGGGTGCATATACATATACATACATGTGTGTAAAGAGCCACTGGATGAATCAACTGTGACATTCTATTTTCCCTTATAAAATAGGGATTTATTTTCTAGTTTACACTGGAAATGTTGATCTGTTCATTTTTCATCTTGTTTGAAGCACCTTAGTTTTCTTCAATATGGGTGTCAGAAAGAATGTCAGGACTAATCTTGCCTTTGTAAAAGGGGAAATTGTAGCCTAGAAAGGGAGAGATTTGTCCAGAGTTATAAGGTGAGTTAAGGGCATATTACTATTATGATTGCAATATTAATGTCCTTTCAATTGTGCTGCTGTTTTCTGAAAAGAAATGCAGCATTTGAGGAAAAATCTTTTCATGATGAAAAAAGATAAATACTTAATATTTTATAGGTCATCCCAGACTGTCAATCACTTGAAAAGTCTTTAGAATAATGATTTTAAAATTTTAACTGAAAACTTTTGTAAGATTTATTGTAGTTACTTGAAAGACAGAGTTAGAGAGAGAGAAGTCTTCCATCTACTGGTTCACTTCACATATGGCCACCATGGCCAGGTCTGGGAGAGGCGAAGCCATCAGCTTCATCCAGGTTTCCTACATGGGTACAGGGACCCAAGGACTTGAACCATCTGCTGCTACTTTGCCAGGCACATTAGCAGTGAGTTGGGTGGAAGTGAGGCAGCTGGGATTCAAAACAGCACCTGTATTAGATACTAACATTGCAGGCTACAGCCTAACCCATTAATGCAAAAATCCTTTTGTATGTTATTTTTATTTTGTTGTGAATTAATTATTCTTACTACCAACAAAGAATAAAATGACCAGAAATTATTTTTATTCAGTATAGACTAGTATGCTCATACTGGTTTCTGTGAGAATCCATCCGTTGTTTACCTGGTTTTGTGGGTTCCTCTTGGAGTAGCAAGTAGCAACTCTATTATAAGTGGAAAATACCAGTCATTGCCTTTTAAGATGTATGTTTCTTTAAAGGTCAGAGTTAAAGAAGGAGAAAGAGAGAGAGAGAGAGAGAGATCTTCCATCTGTTGTCTTACTTCCCAGATGGCCACCATGGCCAGAACTGGATCAGGCCAAAGCCAGGAGCTTTCTCTGGGTCTCCATGTTGGTGAAGGGTTCATGTATTTGGAACATAATCTGCTGCTTTTTTTTTTTAAGAACAAATAATAAAAATAAAAAATGACATTCATTGAATATTTTATTTTGTGCTAGAATTTTATGGTTGCTTTGCCTATAGTAACTTTTTTTTCATTTATTTGTGGGACCAGCATTGTGGTGCAGTACTACCTGTGGTGCTAGCATCCCATATGAGTGTAGGTTCAGGTCCTAGATGCTCCGCTTCCAGTCCAGCTCTCCCTACTGCTCTGTCTGGGAGGGCAATAGAGGATGACCCAGTTGCTTGGCCTGCTGCATGTGGGAGACCTAAAGGAAGCTGTTCTTGCCTCCTGTCTTCAGTGTGACCTGGCTCTGACCTTGGCAGCCATTTGGGTTATGAACTAGAAGATGAAAGATCTTTCTTTCTCATATTCTTTCTCTCTTCCTCTTTTTCTCCCTCACTCCCTCTCTCTCTCTCTCTCCCTCCCTCTTGTTTCTCTCTGGGACTCTCTGCCTGTTAAATAAATAATTTTAAATTTTTTCCCATTTATTTGAAAGGCAGAGAGAGGGACATAGATAAACAGATCTTTCATCTGCTGTCTCACTCCCTAAATGACTAACAGACTGGATTGAACCAGACTGAAGTCAGGAGCCTGGAACTCAAATCTGACTCTCCTATGTTCATGGCAGGGACTCAAGCTAGGAGGCATCACCTGTTGCCTCCTAGGTATGGTTAACAAGAAGCTGGAAACAGAAGTAGAGCTGGAATTTTAACTCAGGCACCGTAATATAGGGTGTAGACATACTAAGTAGCATCTTTTTTTTAAGGTTTATTTTATTTTTATTGGAAAGGCGGATATACAGAGAGGAGAGACAGAGAGGAAGATCTTCCGTCCATTGATTCACTCCCCAAGCGGCCACAATGGCCGGACCTGAGCCAATCCGCAGCCAGGAGCCTCTTCCGGGTCTCCCACATGGGTGCAGGGTCCCAAAGCTTTAGGCCATCCTCGACTGCTTTCCTGGGCTACAGGCAGGGAGCTGGATGGGAAGCAGGGCTGCCGGGATTAGAACCGGCACCCATATGGGATCCCGGGCTTGCAAGGCAAGGACCTTAACCACTGTGCCATCGCGCTGGGCCCCTAAGTAGCATCTTAAATGCTGCACCCAGTGCCTACCTCTTGTTAACTCAGTTAATCCTGACAATCCTATATTTTAGATGCTATTTAAATAGTGAGAGAGCCATTGAGGGGGAGGGTCAAACCATAGATGGAAGCATCCTTGGCTCCCTCCCTGTCTGTCATGCTGACTTTCAGGCGTCCTGGTGCAGCAGGTTAAACTGCTACTGCCAGTGCTGCCATCCCATATGGGCACTGGTCCATATCCCCACTGTTCCGCTTCCAGTCAGCTCTCTGCTACTGTGCCTGGGAAGACAGTGTAAGATTTCCTAAATACTTGGGCACCTGCACACACATTGGTGACCTGCATGAAGCTGCTGGCTCCTGGCTTCATCCTGGCGCACTCCCAACCACTGGGGTCATTTGGCAAGTGAACTAGTATTTGGAAGATCTCTCTTTATCTCTCCTCTGTGTAATTCTGCCTTTCAAATATATAAATAAATAAAATGTTTGTAAGTAAAAAATATTTTTAATGTATTCAGAGAAGGATATGGAATGTACCCCTGGGATCTTCCCCCATCTTTCAGAAAAGCGGTATTTTGTAAGGGAGAGTTTACTAGTCTAATTAATAGAATCTCAGTGTTAACCATTCCTGTAATTCCTTTGATCATACTGGTGTCAGAGACTCATATAGGTGTCATAGAGTGAAATAGTCCTGGGTTTGGGAAACTAGCAGTTTGTTTATGTGTGTTTAAGTCATCTGATTTAACTTCCTTACATATGAAAAACAACTACCTTTTTGGATTTAAAACTTAAGCATTGGAGCTTAATGTGTGGCACTTAGTAGGAGGTATATAATAATATAGAGTAGATGTTGACTACCCTTCTTTTCTTTTAGTTATCTTCCACAAGACGAGTGTATCTCGTTTTAGATTTGTCCCTCATTACTAGAAGAACTAGCAAAATATCAAAAGCAGAAAACATTACAAATTCTAAAATCCTGTAATACTTTTGTAGTACTTGATTTCCATATATGATTTCCATATATGGTTGTTCAGTCAAAGACCAAGGTGAGTCTTATCGCCTCTTTCTTGGCAGTTTTAAGCCTAGATCAACTTCCTTGTAGAATAACCAGCAACCAGTCACTACTTGGGTCTCTTAAGTACCTGGCTCATGCTCTGCCATTTATGCTTCAGTGAACTTTGTTTCCACTGCCAGAACTAGGAATGAGTGCCCTTTGGAGGCATTTCCTCACAGTTTATGAAAAAGATCAAGGTCAACTTGAGCTGGGCAATAGTATGGGTAATGTGCACATCCACAAAAACTTACTTTAAGTAGGCGCTGTACAGACAGGAGAGAAGCAGCAACTCTCTCCCATATTTCCTGACAGGGCAAACCTTTTTCTCTTTACCATCTTTGAACTGTAAATACTAGTATTTTTTAAATAGTGGTGGTAAAAAGCTGTATTATCTTTTCCTGTTATTCTGTTATTCTAACCACTATTTATGATAATTTAATTCTACCTTCTACAGATTAACAATTTTAGTCAATAAAATGTCCATTTGATTTTGCACATTTAGTTTTTACATGAATAGAACTTTTTATGCATCTGTTAAATATTTAGGAAAGTCATTTATGATTTTTGGGGGTTCATATACCATATGGAATGTTAACTTGAAGATTCTCGTTGTTAGGAGATGCTCTTTCTACTGATGTTTTATATGGTATATATCATTTTCTCATAAACATGCCTGACTGCTATAAGGAATCTGTGCAAAGTCATGGTACCATCCTATTCCCTGTATTCTGGGCATAATGTCTAAGAATGAAGACTTTTACTGAAGATGTAAGTCGCTTCCTAAAATAGGCAGTGATCAAAGGGTCTGTCTGATTTCTTAAGTCTTTCAAAGAGGGCTTATTGGGCCCGGCGCAATAGCATAGCGGTTAAAGTCCTTACCTTGAACACACTGGGATTCCATATGGGCACCAGTTCTAATCCTGGCAACTGTGCTTCCCATCTAGCTCCCTGCAGGTGGTCTGGGAAAGCAGTAGAGGACAGCCCAAAGCTTTGGGACCCTGCACCTATGTGGGAGACCTGGAGGAAGCTCCTGGCTCCTGGCTTTGGATTGGCTCAGCTCCCGCCATTGCGGCTGCTTGGAGAGTGAGCCATTGGATGAAGATCTTCCTCTCTGTCTTTCCTCCTCTCTGTATATCTGACTTTCAGTAAAAATAAATAAATCTTTTAAAAAAGGGGGGAGGGGCTTATTTGCTCAGCAGAGGTAACCTACCACCTGTGATAAGCCCCTCTGCTAATTTAGTCACATTTCTTGTGGTCTGGTTCCTTCTCTAATCAACCAAAAGTACCCATAGCTTTACATATATGCCTTATAATTTGCTTGCATTCAAGATTCTGGAAGTTCACTTTCTTATTTAGCTTGTGGTTACAACTTGTAAAGCAAACTGTAAGACTAGATACATACCCCTTCTAAGTCTTTTCCATCGATTCATGCCTCTAGATGTGTCCTAGAGTATTTGACACAAGGTTTTGTTGTTGTTGTTTCATTTGCATTTCATTATTCCAGGATGCATTTTTGTATAAATTTGCATTTGATATTCTAAGCCAGGAGAAAGGAACAGTGCTACTTTGGCAGAATTGTCATCAGTTTGTTACACCAGCCTTGAACTGATTCTGTT